CCCTCCTTCCTGGGATTTTGCTGAGTGGGGAAGGAGAGCTGGGAGCTTGGGAATGCTGCTGGTGCCCAGCACAGTCACTGGAGCAGGAGGATGGCACAGAGCTCCTGCCCTCTGCAGCCTGCTGCTCCCATTTTCCAGGCAAACCTGGGAAGCTGCATCCCTGTTGCTGATTATTTTATCCAGCCTGGGAATATTGATCCAGCTGGGTGTGCTTGGGTTTTTAACTCAGTGTTAGGGATGGAGAAGGAATTTTTTTCCAAACATCTCTCTTTTTCTGAGGTCAGGCTGTGATAATGACACGTGTGTGTTCCCTCAAAGTGCTCTACACCATCCCAAATTCCTGCTTGGATGTCTCTGTATGAGGTACTGGAAGAGGGCAGGTCTTTGCAAACCTCCCATGGGCTTTATCCATGTGTTTGCCAAAGGATTCATCCTGCAGGACACGGAACCAGCCCTGTGGGTTTGGGAGCACCCGTAAAGCTTCTCCTTAATGGTGTTCCTGGAGTGGGGCCAGAGGGCTCAGCGACTACAGAATGCCAAATCTTGGGTATGGACAGAGGGGTGAAAGAAAATGCAGTCATTCCAACCCTAAAAATCCTTATTTTTATCTCCTTTCAACATCATGGACCAGCTTTATATCCAAGTGCATGTTCCCACCTTAAGCCAGAGGAAGCCCCACGTACCTGAGCAGCCCAACATCTTCCCTTTGGGCTTTCTCCTGTTCAAACTCCAGCTATTCCTGGGAGCTCCTTGGGATGTTTGTTTGTCCTAAAGCTGGATTTCCCTGGGCATCACTGTGGGGTTTCACCATCTCTCCATAAGCAGGAAAGGACTCCAGGTCCAGGAAATTCCTTAGCTGGGGACAGCAAGCCATGACTTGGTTGCCCCTTCCCAGCCATGGAGAAGAAAGACCTTGTCAATCAGAGGGAGCAGTCCTGGATGCCCACGGTGCCTGGATCCCAGAGGGATGAGCCAGAGCTGGAGATTGCTCCTCCCATCCCCAGCAAAATCCCCAAAATCTCATTGGCAAAGGAACGGAAATGCACAGAAAGACGTCGCTCTTCCTGCAATGCCTCCGATCCTCATGCAGAGCTTTGCAAACAGGAGCTGGATTAGATTTCCCAAACCCAGCTGAACTGTGGGAATGCTGCTGCCTTAATCCCTGTTTCCAGGAGGGAATATAGAGGTGAACATGTCCTGCTCACCCTCACCTTTGCTGCAAGGTGCAAACCGGGGGCCAGCCCTGATTTTGGAGATTTTGGCGTTATGGGGCCACCAGGAGCTGCCCTGCAGACTCTCAGCTCTCCTCCCAGGATGGATTTTAGCCAAATGCTGAGGAAGCGCTGCTCCCTGTCACTGCTGGAGAATCAGGAATGATGTTTCCCAGTCCAGGGACTTCCCGCTCTCTGCTCCCAGCTCAGCTCCCTCCAGCCAAGGATGGGGCTCTGCACTCTCCTCAGAGCAATGGCAATTCCTGCAGGAGTTCTGGAAACAAACCAGCCCTGCTCCAAGGGGAATAAGCAAAAAAAACCCCAAATTCAGGATTAGGAGCACCAGTGAATGTGTCCAACAGCCCTGCCCGTTTTTTTCTCTCTGTGCTTCCATCGATCCCTGTCTTTCCCATGATCCCATTCCCTTTCCTACACTTCAACAGTCATTTCTGAAATAGGGGTATTCTCTCCAAACATCTTTTGGGATGACTCCAGTTGTTTTCTCCTAGTTCCAGGTTGTGGCCTCTCCTTAACTCTGCTTGGCATGGACGTGGCCACGTCCTCATCCTTCGTGGCATCACCTTTATCTTGACTTTCCGTGTCCAAGACTTTCTTCTCTCTCTTTGTCCTTTTTGTCCCATTCAAAAGGGCCACACAGGAGTGGGAGGGGTGTTTGTGGCATCTTGGAGGCATCCATAGGATGGCTTCCCTGCATGGCTGAGGGAAGAGGATGGGACATTTTCCTCCCCAGGGATTCTCTTCCATCACAGAGGCTTTGGCAATGCAATTGGTTTGTCCAAAGATGGCCTTGGATTGCTCCCTGCTTCCCATCCTGAGGGAAGCACATTCCCCTCCTGTGTCCTGACCCTGTGAGGTGCTCAGAACCCAAATCCTTGGAATTCTCCATCCAGCACCCCAGCAGATTATTCTGTTCCATCAGAAGTGCTCATTTCACCACTCCCAGCCCCATCCTGCCATCCCCATCCTGCTCCACATTCCCCTTCCACCTCCCGAGCTCCAGAGCGGCTGCAGCCGGTCCATCCCGTGAAGGGGAATATCGTGAAATCCTGTTTCCTCTGCAGGGAGAAGGAGTCTCCGGGCTCCTTGTGAGATCAAGCTTTGTGCACATATCTGCAAATGTTGGGCCAGAGGTTAAGCTGAGCGGGGCTCGGGGAGGAGGTGGCAGTGCTTAGCAATGCAGATCAGATGGCTCCGAAGCTTCTGCTATCCATGGCCAAATCCTGGGATATGGAGGGCTTTAAACCATAATGAAGTCAGGGGAAGGAAGGAGCGCTGCTGGCTGAGGAAGGACTGAGCTCCCTGACAGGAAGCTCTTTGATCTGCTGGTGGCCGTGAAGCTGCCCAGATGTCTTGGTGGCTGTCGAGGACACGAGCGTGGCCTCTGAGGCAATCCCTAGGGATAATCCAGGCTGCCGCCTCCTGCAGGGAAGCAACGACACCCATGAAAGCAGAGCTGGGGGTTGGGAGATGCTCCACGGTGCTGGGAGGGGACAAGCAGGATGGAAGGGCTGGAAAATCCACCTTGCTGAGGAGCTGCCGAGCCCGCTTCTGGCAGCTGTGCTACTCCAGGAGCAGGTTTGGAGGCCAGGCAGGGATGGCAGCATCCCGGGCACCTCAGCCTGGCTGGGGACACACACAGGCTGCAGCTGGGACCTGCTGGGACCAATTTGACCACGCTGTCACGCTCCAGCCTGCAGCACTTTGTTCTGCTCCCTGCCAGTGCCTCGGGTTTTCAGCACAGGGCTGTGATCCTTCATGCTGCTCCAGCTCAATCCAGGGAGTTTTTTCATCTGCATGTTTGCCAGGAGATGAGGAGGCTGAGGGACCTGTGTGGGATCAGGGCTGGAGTCAAGGGATTCAGCCAAGGGAAAGGGAGATGGGGACTGGGGCAGGGTGGGATCTGTTCCCCCTGTCCCCTCACCCACACTGGCATCTTTCCCTGAAACCCATTGAATCCATCTCTAGGAGAGCAGGAACACGGTGTGAGGACACCCTGAGGCTCCTTGGCAGGGGAACTCAGGGTGCTGAGGGAAATTTCTCCCCCGGTAGCTCCATTGTCCTGCTGAGATACTCTGGGCTGGAGCCAGAAAGGGAAGAGAGGTGCTGCCAGGTCACCAGGGAATGCAGGGACACCTTGGCAGGCTCTCCCCTGCCACAGCCGCCATCCCAGGCATGGGGAGAGCCGTGGGTGCAGGGCACTGGTTGTTCCCCGTTCATGGGGACACCACAAGGGACAAAGCAGACTCACTGCTCAACACCCCCCGCCACAGGACATGTCTGCTGTGTCCCCTGAGCTGCATCTCACAGGTTGTCCCCCATCCTTCTCCCTGCCACCACCTCCTCGCTCTGCCCTGCCAGTGCCTGCCCTAATCCCAGTGCTAATCCTATAAACCCTCCGTAAATCCTGCCTGCCCCTGCCTCTCCACGTCCCTTCTCCAGGACAGGCTCTGTGGGGTCCCCAGCTTGGGACCCCAGCTGGTTTTTTGGGGTGCACAAAGCTTCCACCCCAATAATGTCATGCCACTGGAACATGGGGAAGGATGCCCAAATCCTGGGGGATTTGTGCAAAGCGCTGGCAGCTCAAAGAAAGCTGAAGCACCCCAAAATACAGCCCAAAATGTGGCCAGGTGCTGGTTTCACACTCTCAGGAAGCTGACTCTGCTCCAGCCCAGATCCCTTCTCCAGAGCCACTGCTGAGCCCCAGAGCCAGGCAGGGAAATTCCTCAGGGAGTGCTGGGGTAGGACTGGCCCGATTCACGCAGGGTTCCCTATTTCAGCAGGGCTATTTTAAGACTCCCCGGGCGTGTGGGAGCGGGGCTGGCACAAAGGGAGGTCCCAGTGCTGCCTGTGCCCATCCCAGCTTTTCACTTCCCGGGGCTGGGACTGCTCACAGCATTCCAGCAGCTCCAGGGCCCGGTGAGGATCCATCCTCAGGCTCTGGATCTGCCCCAGCAGGGCTTAGGCGGGCAGTGGATCATTGCATCTCGAGCTGGGCTGGAGAAGATTAAGCCGACCTAAGAATAAAAACAAGCCCTGCAGTTCAACCAGCTGGGATAAGGCCTGGAATTGGGCCAACCTCCGAGCTCCAGGAGGGGATGGGATTAGGAACCCCGAGCAGATTACCACCCACCCCACATTTTGGTGTGCATGGAGGGTGCTGAGGTCCAGCTGTGCCCCCCGGGCTGGGTGGGTTCCTTGTCCCTCCATTCCCAGTGCTGTGGTGCAGTCCTGTGTGTGTTTCGTGCCACCAACAACCAGTTAAGAAACTCCAGGAAGTGCCCACGCAAATGTAGGAGCTCCAACAGGGGCACAATTCCAAGGGGAATATCCAAATGGATCTCTCCCCGTGAGGCCTTTATTTCTATGGAGCTGCTTCCTTCCCCAGCACACCGGATGAAGGCACTGTGTGTATAAATAAATGTATTTTACATTATCCATCCACTGTGAGATGCCATCACTGCCAGCAGCGTGGATGGGATCAGAGTGTGCTCCTGGATAACCATTCCCCCATTCCAGGGCCATGCTCCCTTCCCCTTCACTTTAGGGATTGGTCCAAGGGGCAGCTCTTTGATGCCTTGGCTGGTTTCTAACATTCCCCTGCTGCAGCTGGAGTGCGAGCCTGCAACCCAACCAATTTTCCCTCCACAACCTGACGTCGCAATCCTCGTCCTGGAGACAGGACCAGGATTGCAGAGCTGCAAAGGGCTCCCAGAGGAGTTTGATGCCATGACCCACCCCCCTCCATTTCCCTTTGTCTCCTCTCCGCAGGGACATACCAGGGCCAGTGGGTCGGAGGGATGCGCCAGGGTTACGGCGTCCGGCAGAGCGTTCCCTACGGCATGGCTGCGGTCATCAGGTCACCCCTGAGGACGTCCATCAACTCCCTGCGCAGCGAGCACACCAACGGCACGGCGCTGCACCCCGACGCCTC